GAAAACTCTGTCATATAATAGAGGTAACACGTGCAAAACTGTTAATTATGCAATGCCAAAATTTTTTGGGGAGATGTTGTTTTGACAGCTTGCTATTCGATAAATTATATACCTTCCTCTATTGTGGAGGGAAAACCACCGCATTCTTTGCTTTTTACCAATAGACCCTTATTTACTGTGCCCCCTGGATTTTTTGGGTGCATTTATTATTTTTGGGTCTTAGGTCCTAGAATATACAAATTGGTTCCCTATTAAGTATGTATTTTTAGGATATTCTCGTACCTAAGAAGGCTATCGGTGTTAAAAGAACTTTGTGTGCTGATGTTACCTTTTTTGAAAATATTCCATACTTTTCTGATGAGGGTAAAATACTAGAAATAAATTCATGAGAGTTCACACAAGGGGTGTGTGAAGAGGAAAAGAAGAGGGAAAAGAAAGAAGAGGGTAAAGATAAAAGAGAAGAGAGGAGTGACATGAGATTCAGTCACCCCATGCCCCACTAATATCTTTATTTATAATGTTTTTACACAAAACAAGTCATTCTTTAACACTCCCTCTCAACCTCGAGCATAGATGTCACCTATGCCCAGCTTGGAACAAATCTGGTGAGTCTGGTTATGACTGAGAGCCATGTTGTAATCCCAGCCAATTGATCTGATGACTTCACTTATGGGTTGGTATTTGCTCGTTGGGCACTTTCTAACAAATGAAGTGACAATCCACTTCAATGTGCTTTGTTCTTTCAGGAAAAATTGGATTGCTCACAATATGAATGATTGCCTGATTGTCACAAAACATCTTTATTGGTTCAATAATTAAAAAACTTACTTCCTGCATCAAGGTTTTTAGCCACATTAACTCAAATGTACAATCATAGCTCTATACTCAACCTCTATACTAGATCTGCCCACCACATTCTTTTTTTATCTTTTCCAAGTTACCAAGTTTCCTCCAACAAAGGTGCATTAGCCCATAGTAGATCTTCTACTCAACGTGATCCTGCCAAATTGGCAGCAGAAAAACTCTCAATGTCAAAGTAGCCATTCTTCTTGTAGATGAGGCCTCGGCCTAGGGCTCCCTTCAAGTATCTCCAAATTCTTCCTATTGCTTCTTAATGGGATGTTATGCAAAATGGATAAACTGACTTACCACACTCACAACAAAGGCTATATCTGGTCTAGTCATTACATAAGTCTACCTACAAGTCTTCTATATCTGTCAGGATCTTCTAGTACGTCACCTTGATGAACTGGAAGTTTGGAACTTGGATCCATGGGTGTATCAACCCGTTTAGCCCCTAACATCCCCATTTTCAGTTACATATTTCTTTTGGAATATACTAATACCATATTGTGACTGAGGTACTTCAATCCCAAGAAAATACCTCAGGTGCCCCTAGTCTTTTATCTGAACACATTGTTGCAAATAACTCTTCAACTTCTAAATTCCTTCTTGATCACTGCTTATAATAATAATATCATCAACATAAACAACCAAGACAACAGTTCCAGCGGCTTGTTTTCGAATAAATACTGAATGATCTACACAGCTCTACTGAAAACCATGTGCCACAAGTTCGCTGAATTTCCCATGAGCAACAACCCGGTAGTTGCTCCAAGTACCATTTGTTGTAAACCTCTATGGAGGAAGGCATTCTTAAAATCATGTTGCCATAATGACTACCCCTTATTTGTTGCCATAGATATAAGTACTCTAACTGAATTAAGTTTTGCCACAGGAGTAAATGTCTTGGAATAATCAATACCAAATGTCTCTGTGTATCGCCTTTATGGTACTTAATGGTATATACCCAACGACATCCAACCGGTCTCCTTCCTGCTGTCAAATTAGTGAGCTCACAAGTACCATTTGACTCAAGCGCAGCCATTTCCTCATCCATAGCTTTTTGATGGCCAACATGCAAAAGAGCTTCCTGATGGGACTTAGGTATGGAAATGGAAAAAAGTGCTAAAGCAAAAATCTTATAACAGGGAGACAGATATTTCAAATCTAACAAAATAAACAATTGGATGCTTTGTACAGGATCGGTGTCCTTTACGAAGTGCTATGGAAGATCAATACTTTAAACTTCAAGAGTAGGTTCACGAACAGGATGAGGATCTACAGACAAAAATGAGGATCAATGGGCTGCTTGAGTTGGGGGTAATGGCACTTCTTTTAATTTCCTTCTCATATACAGTTTGAGAGGTTGCTCATGTGAAACGCTAGTAATAGGAGGAAAGAGAGGCACTACAGAAGGAGAAGAGATAGGCTCTACAGAAGGACACTCTTGAGATGATAAATTATCAATAGAGAAAGGAATATGAGTGGAAATACGAGTAGAAGTACTGGGGGAATTCACCCCTTGTGTGCATTGTAAAGTGTACAATATTTTCTAAAAAGGTAACATCAGCGCACAATTCTTTCTTTCTTTTTTTTCTTTTTTTTTTTTATAATGTTAACCTTGTATTACTATATAAGATGGAGTATACAGCAGAAAGAGGGAGGAGAGGACCGAGAATATCCACAAGACAGGTATCTCAGTCAAAAAATTAAGCCAATACCCTATACAATCTATATCATTTTGAAGCGGCTGTAACCAAAAAAGGATAATAACACCGATAACCTTTTTAGTACGAGAACATCCTAAAAATACACACTTAATAGCTCAAGGATCCAGTTTGTTTGTTCCAAGACCTACGACCTAAACAAAGCAAACACACCCAAAAATTCTAGGGGGCACAGTAAACAAGATACTATTGGGAAAAAGTAAAGAATGCGGTGATTTTCCATCCAAAACAGAAGAAGGCACACAATTTATCAAATAGCAAGCTGTCAAAACAGCATCTCAAAAAAACAAAATTTGGGCATATGCATATTGAATAATAAAGCACAAGTTACCTCTATTATATGATGGATTTTTCTCTCGACTACCCCATTTTGTTAGGGAGTATGCACACATGATGTGTGATGCAGAATGCCATGTGTGGCTAAATAATGCTCGAAATCTCGAGACAAATATTTTTTAGCTTTATTCGATCGCAAAACACAAATATTGCTTCCAATTTGAGTTTGAATTTCTTTATTAAACAATAAAAAATTGACAAGGCCTCAAATCTGTCTTTCATTAAATATAATCATGTCATCCGAGAAAAATCATCAACTAAAATTGAAAAATATATGTAACCACATTGACTCTGAACTTTAGAAGGACCCCATATGTTTGAATGAACAACTGAAAAAGACAGACTCTCATTTATTAATTCTAGAAGGATCCATGATGCTCTCCTAATTCACAAGTTTCACATCAGGAGTTGAAACTAACTCTAACGAAGGGACTAACTTCTTCAAATTATTGATAGATGGATGACCAAGTCTGCAATGCCATTAAAGAGGGGAAACACTAGAGTGTAGAGCAGCACCCACAAAGCTAAAATCAAGATAGTAAAGTCCATCAGAGTTACGGTCGCCACCAATTATCTTCTTCGTCTTTAAATCTTGTAAAACACAATATGAGGTATAGAAAGTCACTAAACACTGAAGTGATTTTTAAGGACTGACACTAAACTGAATGGACACCTTGGAACACAAAGAACATAAGATAATGAGAATGAAGAAGTAGGACACCCAACACCTTGACCAGATACATGACATAAAGAACCATCGACTAGAGTGACAGTAATAGCGCCATCTGGTTTACTGAGATATGAACGCATAGAGGACTCACTAGCCATATGATCAAAGGCTCCTGAATCAATGACCCAAGGAGAAGCCTTCTGAGATGCAAGGAATGCAGAAGTACCTATATTAGTCAGATTAGCAGTGGAAGAGGAGGGATGAGTAGATGGTTGTCGGATATTCTTGAATAACTTATTGTATTTCTTCTCGTGAGAACCACTACCTCACTAGCACAATGTAGAGTCCGGACTTCATCGTTGGAGCGAACTGGGTGCTAATTATGACCTTTAAAAACATAGGACACCTAGTTAACCCAAGTAGGCTTACCAAACTTATCCCAGAATTTTTTAGCAGTCTGATTTATTCGCCCATAATGGGTGCACTTCTTGTTACCACGACTTCCCGCTAAATCATGAACACGTTCTCTATTTCCACCACCACGGCCTCTGCCATTACCTCTACCCATAAAGGAGGTAAAAGCAGACCCATCACCAGCTGTAGTAGCCAATGAAGAAGAAGATATAGTAACCTGTTGAAGGCAAGAGTATACATTATTGAGAGAGGGAAGTTCACTACTAGCTAATATCTGCCCCCAACAGCATGATACTCATAATTAAAGCCAAATAGGAACTTAGTCCTCTCTTTGCTTTTAAAGAAGTTCCATATCATTAATTAGGTGTTGATAAATATTCAACTCTTCCCACATACCTCAAAGAGAACTACAGTAATCACTAAGGCTTTTATCTCCTTGCTGTAAAAGACATATACTCTCATAAAGTTCATAAATCGGATAAAATATTTTTCTAAGATAATTACTTTTCCTTTACAACTTCCCACACTTACTTAGTAATATCATGGAACATAGCATCTGCTCTCACATGGGGTTCCAGACTATATTCCATAACCATGACATAATCTGATCGTTCTCCCTAAGCCACTCATCATATCCACTTTCCGGCTCTTTTGGGCCAACTTTAGTTAAAAATCTCATCTTTCCCCGAGAAATTCAGGTCGGGGGTATCTATAATTTTCCCTTTTATTTTTTAAGACATGATAAATTAAATCAGAAGAAGTTAAAACCATAAGTATCTTCACATAGTTACAGCAATAAATTTACTTCCATGCTACATTCAGCATCTAAGGATCAAAAGCATGGGAAAGTCATCGCAACATTCAACAAATAAAAAGGTTATATGGGTAAGTGGTATCCCTACAATGAGTTATTTACAGATTAAACAAATTCACAACACCTGCAATGTCCCTTCTTAACTATTCATGCTTAAGTTAAATGTCAATAGTCATTCTAGAGAAGTGGCCAGTACCTATCCAGCAAAAGGTGAGATTGGGAAGGTGACAAGAGATACCATAGTTTTTTTCCACAAACATTTGCAGACCAGCTGTAGGACCTGAAAACATCAGCATGAAGTGGGGTCCAAGTGCCTACAAAAGAACCCAAATAGTTCCAACGATGAAATCTGGAATCAACTACAGGCAAATTGACATCCCAAATTCAAGGAAAGAAAAAGACAAGAATCGTAATAATGGACTCAACATACTCAAAAAGTTGCATTCACAAACTAACAGCCGACAGCAAAGAACTAATTACATCTGTATAGAGAAGAGACAACACTACCTTCTTTGTTTGAGAAATGTTAACATTGTATTACTAAGATAGTAATAGTTACAGAATTGTAAGAGACCGAAGGCACCTGCTATGGGTGGCTTTTGGTAAAAAATACATTAGTCAGTCATGTACAAAAAAGGCTTATAAGTCCCACCCAGATACAATGGTTTTTCAAAAAAGTAACATTGAGACAATGGAGTGCTCCGTCGAGGGAGGCTACGTGGTACAGCTGTGGTCTTGAACAAAAAAGGAGAGGCTACATGGTACGGTTGTGGTCCTGAACAAAAAAGGAGTAGGACCTGGGCTGCTCTTCCAATTGGAATCTAGCTCCCTCCTTCGCCATGAGATCTGTGAGCTCGTTAGACCTCCATGTATGCTTCAAGGAGACGTTCATATCTCTGCAAATGTGAGTAATTTCATAAAAAATTGTAGTTAGTTGCCATGGAGGAGAGGTCAACCCACTTGCCCATGAAATAGTGTTTTGGGAGTCTCCTTCCACAATCAGATGTGTGCCCCATGATGGATTGAATTTTTTGAGCCATAGCTTCTGCGTACTGGGAGTCGTTGATGCCAAGATGCTCAGAATAGGTAAGAAGGATGTTTCGCTGATGGTCTCGAAAGACGCCCCCAGCACCTGTCAAGCCTGGGTTTCCAAGGGAGCAACCATCAAAATTGAGCTTTATGTTGTATTCTGGTGGCGGTTGCCAGTTGTTAGCTCTTGGAATTTTTGGTGGCCTGTGGTTGAGGACATTTTTCCATTGGCAAAGGAAAAAGTTCCTTGATAAGCCAGAGAAGATCTTGTGATTAGCGGCCCAAAAGGAGGCCAGCGAAGTTACCCTATGGAAAAGAGCTGGTAGGTGGAGTTTAAGTCCATTGAAAATTATGTTATTCCTTTGTACCCATATTGTCCATATGGTAGCAGCCACAGTAGCCTTCCATAAAGTTCTTCCAGCCAATGGCCAGTGTGACTCCAATTCGTTAGATATCAGGGCCCTGACCGTAGGGGGTGTGACCCAATGAATACCGAAGAGTTGCAACACATGGCTCCACAGCTTATGGGTAAAATCGCAATGAATAAAGAGGTGTGGATCGGATTCCTCCTTGCATAGGCACAGGGCACATCTATTAGGGATCGAGATCCTTCGTTTTTGTAGTTGGTCCACTGTGAGTGCTCTTTGGGAACAGGCAATCCAATTGAAGGTTTGAATCTTAGGTGGGGCAATGGTTGACCATACTTTTGCCAGAACTGAAGTGGCATTGAGAGGGTAAGTAGGGGGGCTGGGTGAGACTTTTATAAAAAGAGGCTACCGTAAAGAAACCTGAGGGGGAAAGAGTCCAAACTATTCTGTCTCTCCCATGAGTTCGGATATATATTGAGAAAAGAGCATTTGAGAGTAGTTCGAATTGATTGGTTTCCTCGTCTGAGAGATTTCTTCGAAATGATGGGTCCCAGACTCTTCGGCCGCCTGAAAGCAGCATTTCATCGGCGATAGTGGAGTTTTTGTTAGAGGCAAGAGAATATAAGGTTTGAGAGGCATGACACAGTGGAGAGTTTCCTAGCCATAAATTTGTCCAAAAACTCACCCTATGTCCTTCTCTAGGAAGGAATCTTATATATCTTCTGAACTGTGAAAGGGAGGAGGCAAAGGATTTCCAAGCTCCTGACGCTCTATGCCTCTGGATCCTTTCTGCACCCAAGTTTCATCCGAGATCCTGTATTTACATCGTAAAACCTGAGCCCAAAGAGAATCTGGCTGACAGGCTAGGCACCACCACCATTTACCAAGGAGTGTTGTATTTTGTTTCCTAAGGACATAAAGCCCTAAACCCCACTGCTTTCTTGGTAGGCAGATATTTTCCCATGCTACTAGGTGGAATTTGGTCTTTTGTGGCTGTCCAGACCACAAGAAATTCCATATAAGATGTTTTATGCGGTTAGCCACCTGTGCAAGCATCTCATAAAGGGACATGAAGTAGATAGGCGTATTTGCCAGGGTGGCATTGATCAAGGTAACTCTTCCTGCCAAAGAGAGATATCTACCTTTCCAAACCGCTAGACGTCTCTCTACCTTGTCTAGAACCTCAAACCAGTGCCTCTTTTTTGGTTTCCCCAACCCCATAGGGAGACCTAGATATGTAGTAGGGAGGTCCTCCACTTTGCACTCCCAATTTGGGATGAGGGCTCTTACCTCTGCATTTGTCATGGCCACCCCCATCATTTTGGATTTCTCCATGTTTACTTTGAATCCTGTTGCTTTCTGAAAGCACAAGAGGAAGAGCATGAGTGTGTCGACTTCATTACGTGAGGCATCGAGGAATACCAAGTTGTCATCTACATATTGCATGTGAGACACCGTTGGGCCCTGACTGCTACTTTTGAAGCCGAAGAGGAGACCAGATTGGTAGAGGCGGGATATTGATCGAGTGAATACTTCCGCTACAATGGCAAAACGGAAGGGGGAAAGAGGATCCCCTTGTCGGAGTCCCCTCGAGGCTGGGACGAAGCCTTTCGGAGTTCATTGATGAGTATAGAAAAATGGGGGTGAGAGTGATAGCCTCTCATCCATCTCCTCCATCGCTCCCTGAAGCCCATTCTTGCCATGGACTCTTCCAGTATGGACGAGTCCACGTGGTCATAAGCTTTCTCCCAATCTACTTTGAAGATTAGTCCCGGTTTCTTGGCTAAGTGTCTCAAGTGGATACACTCATTGGCCACCAAGGCTCCATCTAAAATCTGCCTATCTTGGATGAAGGCAGATTGAGATGAAGAAATCACTGAAGGGAGGACTTGCTGAAGTCTAGAGGCGAGGACCTTAGCCAGTATTTTATATGACGAGTTCAGGAGGCTAATCGAGCGGAAGTCCTTGATTTCCTCTGCCCCTTCAACTTTGGGAACAAGGGCTAGGAAAGTGGCATTGATTGCTTTATGGATAGTTCCCCTGTGGAATAACTCCTTAAAGAAATCCATAAAGTCAGGAGGGAAAGTATTCCAAAAAATTTTGAAAGGTGCAATCGGAAAGCCATCTGGGCCAGGAGCTTGGTCTTTAGCTAGGGCATTAACTGCTTGTAAAATTTCTTCTTCAGTGAAGGGTTGCTCTAGCAAAATTGCCCGGTCAACAGCAAGAGCCAGGAAATCATGATCAGCCATTCTTGGTCGCAGGCCAGCAGGAGCAGTGCATAGAGTCTGAAAAAACTCTATAATGGCCTACTCGATTTCTTCTGGTTGGGCCAAGTAATTGTTGTTAATTTCGAGCATCGCAATAGTATTGTCCCTTCTTCGGCAGTTAGCTATTCGATGGAAAAAGGTTGTGTTTTGGTCACCTGCTTTCAACCATTTGATCCTTGATCTCTGAAACCAATAAATCTGTTTTTTTTTTAGAGTGGAAAGGCATTTCATTTTCGATTGAGTTCTGAGATTAAATTCTGAGGTGTCCAGAGACCTGAATTCTTCAAGACGGCCTAATCCTTGGATGGTATCCAAGAGGGTGGATTTAATTTGGGTGTAGTTACCAGGTATAGATTTACTCTAGGTTTGTGAGAGGCTTTGAGAAGCTGGATTTTTGTCTGAAGTCTATAGCCTGCTCTACCCCTGACCTGGGATGAGAAGGAATTCCACCAGGTTGGTATAAGAGTAGTGAGGGATACCTCTTAGAGCCAAGCTAATTCAAACCTGAAAGGTTTGGGCCCTCTCCTTACTGCAGTGGTATCAAGAATAATAGGGCAATGGTCAGAAATAGGTTTGGGTAGGGCCGAGGCAAAGGAGCTCGGGAACTGCTCCTACTTGTTTGCGGATAATAGAAATCAATCAAGTTTAGAGAGGGAGGGTTCGGGAGTATGGCTGGACCAAGTAAATCGACTTCCTTGAAGAGGAATATCGATAAGTTCATTCTGGCTAATGAAATCAACAAAGTCCCTCATGTCCTGAGAGATGGAGGTAGAAGAGTTTCTCTCATAGGACCATCTGATAACAATGAAATCTCCTCCGAGACACCAAATAGGTTGGGATAGAGATGCAACGTGGCCCAATTCGGACCAGAATCTGTGTCTGAGAGAAGCAGAATTTGGCCCACAAACAGCCGTGAATTTCCAGGGGATACCATCACGGATGCTAGATAGAAGAATTGTCACAGAGAACTCCCCTATGTGGGAGGAAATGAGAGAATGGTCCGTAGGATTCCAGACCACCCAATGCCTCCTGAAGCCCAGACAACACTATCAAGTTCTTTGATAAAGAAAATTCCATAAGAAATAAATAATTAACGACGATGGAAGACTTTGAATTTTCTTTCTAAACATATCATCAACTTATATTTACAAACCTTCAAGATATTTGTAAATCATGCATGCTACAATCGTACTTTCTCAACTATTCTAGATCCACTCTTCCCAATCGTCCAATGCCACTAGAGTCATAGAGCCTTACTAAACCACCTATAGTTGCCTATTCTCTATTCACTTTTTTTTGGACTCGTCTAGTCTCTATCCTCCCCCACAACTTGGGGAAAATATCTCCTCATCTAATGAACTCAGATAGAAGAAGACCAAGATTTCAGGGAAATACTCCACCTTACTGCTCCTAACCAGCTTATCCAACTAGGCCACAAGGATCTAAATAACTATAAACACATGTTCACCAAATTAACCTTCTAGCTACAGGCCGCTTCATAGTATAGAAGAAGTGTCATGAATTTTTTCCCCTTCAAGCAAGGAAAGTATCAAAAAGACCACCATAGCATCCACAACCTTAAGGTGTCTTACCAAGATAACTTATGATCATACCTTCAAAGCCTCAATAACTCAAAAATGGTAGCCTTAA